CATTGTATCTTCCAATAATCACCTCACTGGTATTCTATAATTATAATCACAACAATTATTTAGAAATAATTTCATACTTGAATTGTTCCACTCCCCCCACCAATCCTTTCCTGTTCCAACTTGGACATTCATGGTCTTCTATTTTGATTCATCTCTCAGTGACTGGAGCACACCTTCTTGGGATTTTTCCCCCCAGGGATGATGTACCGCTGTAGCAAAAGCTACACACAAGGTGTGTCCCTTGCATAACTGAAACGAATTTTTGTTACTGTCAAATGTGAACTAAAACATAACTGAGTATAAAATTCTTGGGTCACACACAACCTGTTTCCCTAAACCTCGATGTACTGCTTGCTGCACTGCGTTCTGACACCTACATGTGGACAAGTCTGAGTCCAGCCTAATTTTTTTCCTTTGGTTTATAGGTTCCTTTTACCTGGGTGCTAATGATATCCTTTCTTTATTCTCAAAATTTGAAAACCACGTCACCTGGATATTATTTTAAGTGTTAGCTAATTTGCTAGCTTTGCCTGGTTCATGATGAGCCCTTATAATTTACAGATTCAGGTTCTTCTCCAGTTCAGGAAAACTGAGGATTCCTTCTATTCCATTTGTTCTGGTCTCCAATCTGGTCCATCGTCCACATCTGGGGTCTCCACTGCTGCTTTCCTGTCCTTTCTGAAATCGGCAGTTTGTCCTCTTCCCGACTCCTTCACTTTCTCCAGTGCTGCTAATTTCAAATGGTGGCATTATATGATTTACTTCCTTTTGTTCTTTAAGTTCTCAAGCTCCTTTGTCTCTCAGTCTGTTGATTCATCATCTCATCTTTCAGAGCATCTGTAACTTCTCTGAGAGGATAAAAAAGATGATGTTTGAAATTTACTTCAGTTTACTGAGTAAAGGTCTGGGAACTTTCTTCCCAAAGCCTGCTCTTCTTCCTGTTTCTTGCCTGCCTTGTTTATTTCCCTTCTCAGTGGACCCTCTCTAGTGTCGGCTTTTCTATTTGTTCATTCTTGAACGAGGACAGATGAGTCCTGGCCTGATATTTACCAAAAAACAGTGTAGATGGATTCCCTTCTGTCCCCTCTCTATTTACCCTAATGGATTCACAGTTTCTTGGATGGGACTGTGGGCTAAGGACCAGCATCATGTCTGTCACTCACCAACTGTGACCACTCCTTAGTAAAGGTTTTCACTTCTCTTGCCTCAGTTTCCCCGTCTATAAAACTGAAAAGTTGAGCTAATTTTTAAACATCCTTTAGCTCTACATTTTTATGATACTCTTATACATCACATAGATTTAAAGTTTCATTAGTCGGGAACTAATTATCAAGAATTTTGCTAGGGCCAGCCGAGTGGCTCAGTTGGTTAAGAGTTAGCTTAAGAGTGCGAGCTCTGAGCAACAGGGCNAGTGCCTTAAATGGTTAAACAGATGGGGGCCGGCCAAGTGGCTCAGTTGGTTAAGAGGTCACTCAAAAGTTTGAGCTCTGAGCAACAGTGGTTCAATGCCCGGCCCGAGCTGAGCTGCCGCTGAGCTGCCAAAAGGTGGCAGAATGGCTCAGCTTAAAAAAAAAAAAAATACAAGGTTAAACAGAGAGTTACCATATGACTCAACAATTCCACTCTTAGGTATATACCCAAGAGAAATAAAAATATAGGTCCATGCAAACTGTTGTACAAAAATGTTCATAGCAGCATTATTCATAATATCCAAAAAGTGGCAATAACCCAAATGTCCATCAACTGATGAATGAATAAATAAAATGTGGTCTGTCCATACCATGGAATATTAAAAAATGAAGTACTGATATATGCTACTACATGGACAAACCTTGAAAACATGCTAAATGAAAGAAGCCAGGTCACATATGACCCCATTTATATGAAATGTCCAAAATAGGCAAATCTATAGAGACAAAGAATAGATGAATGGTTGTCCAGGGCTGGGGGATGGGAGAATTGGGGATAATGGCTAAGGCATGTGGAGTTTCTTTCTGAGATAATGAAAATATTCTAAAATTGATTATGGTGATGATTACACAACTCTAAATGGGTGAATTATATAGTACATGCATTATATCAATAAAGCTGTTTTTAAAAAGCTGTCATAAAGTCTGATCACTCATGTCACTCCCTTGCTCAAACATTATGTAACAGGATGCAGAGATCACCTCAGTGGGTTCTCCTAGGGTTTAGGTTGCCCACTGTGACAGCGTGCTATGCTGGTGGAGTAGGCCAGCTCTCAGCATCTCATATGTTTGAGTCCCTCTCAATGAGGGAAAGGGTCTTTTGAACCACAGGAGGAAAGGAGAGTTGGAAAAGTCACCAAGGGGTATCCTCCAGGCCAGCTGTCTCTGCATAGACTTGTACTTCATTGAGCGCCAAGCACTGGGGACAGTTCAAGGAGCTACTTTCATTAGAGATGCTGATCAACAAAGGAGCTGTGGTATATGGGCTCTAGGATGACCCCTAGAATCCCCACCTCCTGATGTCCAGGGCCTTGTGTGATCCCCTGCCAAGTGTGGACAGGACCTGACTTGCTTCTAACCAGTAGAATAAGGCAGTCTTTAGGATGTATGTGATTATGCTATGTAAGATTGTAACCCATCTTACTAGGAGGCTCTCTCTTTCTGGCTTTGAAGACGTGAGCTGCCATATTGTGAGCTGCCCGGTGGAGAGGATCACTCAGCAAGAAGCCTCTGGNTACAAACAAGGAAACCAAAGCTCTGAGAAACTAAAACTGGTGCATGAGGTTTCAAATGCAGACCTGTCTGACTTCCACACCAGAGCTCTTACCCGCCATACTGAAAAGAAAAATCGATTTCAAAAGGTAGACTGGGCCATATCACAGAGGGCCTCAGATGCAGTATTTTCCACTAATAAAGTTTCTCTCTCAACCCTGGATGTTGCCACTGCAATAATTACAATCAGAAAGCCTATCCCCTCATTATCCAACACATGTTCTACCTCTTGTGTGCCACCAAGTGTGGGCTTTCCTGTCAACCCACTGAGTGTGATTGTTATCCAGGGGGCAGCAATCTCTGAGAGCCATTGACATAGTTTCTGCCAGGACAGAACGGGACAATTTACACATGATGCTTCTAGATGCTCTGCCACACGAGCACAAGCCCCCGGAAGGACCCAGGCCTGAGATGCCATCTTCACGATGCCACTGGGTCACCACCACAAAACTGGTTGCAGTGAGAGAGGCCAGCACCATGGTGGGTGGTCCCCAAAAGTCCCATAGCTTCTACAGTAAAGAACAATGTAGACCAGCAGAGGACAGGCCTCCTCCTGTGTTCTCTTCTGTCCATGCCTAACAGGTAGGAGGAATTACAGTTCTGATTGGTCCAACTGCTAAGCAACAAAGGCACTGCACAATGAAAGGTCACACACATGGGTATAGGACACTCTCCTGAATAGGAGAGAACCCATGACCTTGCTTTCTTCTCCCTGCCCCTGTAGTACTGGCATTCCCCTCTGTTTGGTGTCTTCCTTCTGGGATGTGGTAAAATCAGGGTTTGTACTGGGATGGTGAAGGGGGAATAGCATAAGGCTCAAGCCTAAGCCTCATGTTCCACTTCAGAGTCCTCACTGGGGGTGGGGTCTAAAGGTCAGCAAGCAATTAAATGTTCCTCTGCCTTATATCTCCCGTTTTTCCCTACCACAGCTCCCTCAGAGGCCTTGCAGGGAGGAGCAATCACCATCTGAAACAAGAATGAGTCTTTTGGGAACTCCCTGCCACAAACCTCATCCCAAACTCATACAAGAAAATCGTCTAGAAATCCCCTCCTCTTTAGACTCCCATTCCCCAAATCCAACCTGCCCAACAGCACAGGCAAGGGAGGCTCATAACTTTACCCAAGGACTCAGTAAGCACGAATCCATCCTATCCTCACAAGGCCCCTGGGAGGCACAGAAGGCAGGTACCACGATGCTCATTTTGCAGAGGATGAAAAGAGTCTCCAAGCTAACACAGAGGCAAAGGCCTCTGAACCCTCATTCCCCGTTCTTCCCCCTCACCAGCTGCCATTTCGGGCTTTTGGAGACTACAACTGTTAAGATAGCAGCATCTGGTATCAGGAGCCAGCAAGCCAGGACCCTTCAAGCTTCATACTTACTACTCTTCAAGCACACACATTTCTCAACAGCTGATCATCGAATGAAAGCCAACCCTGCCCCCCAATCTTAGGCACGACCCCTGCAACAGCAACAGGGTAAGTCCCTAAGACGTGAAAAATGGTACATTCCACTTAAGGTACAGCGCGGCATAGGGGAAGCTGCCGGCCTAGTAACCAGGACAGCTGAGACCCAAGTCCAACTCAGGAGAGGCACAGGCAGGCCTGGCAGGCCCTTCGGCCCAGCGGCAACCCTCGAAGTCTCCAGAATCCTCAAAGAGCCCAAACCTCCTGCTTCCACCCAAACCCCAAAACAGCGGAGAGGGCGGCGTTACTTTCTCCAGCGACCACTCACCTCTGCCCGCTCCTCACCTGAAGCCCCGCTTCCGGACCTGCAAACCATTCGGGGCCCCGCCCCCCCGCGCCTGCAGGTCTTCCCTAGCCCCGCCCCTTGCACCTGTCGTTTCCTCAGGCCGGGGCTCTCCGGCCGCTTTGGCCTCGCCTCGCAACACCCGCCCACAAGCAAATCTGTGGTCCCACCTGACCCTGCCTCCCGCACCTCCAGTACCTCGGCCCCTCCCAAATGCCTCCGCCAGCCCCGCCCCCCACACCTGAGGCCTTTCCCCACCTGTACCTCCACACCCACTAACCTTCATATCCTTCAAGTCCCCACCGGACCAGCGAACCGAAGGCCTCCGGCCCGGCCTCCGCACCTGCATAACCGCCCGACACAACCCCTGGCCCCCCCCAGCCCCGCCTCCCTCTCTGAGGCCCCTCCCCAGCCCAGCGGCCCCTCTGGGTCCCGCCCCCCGCACCTGCAGCTCCCTCCGGCCGGGCCCTCAGGGCCCCGCCCCGTCCCGCCCCGCGGACCGCTCTTCTCACCGCCCGTTCTTGCCGCCGCCGCCGCAGTCCTGGCCGGTCACCTTGACACGGGCCGCAGTGGCTGCCGCCGCCTCCTCATGGCCCTGAGAGCGGCCCAGGCGGCAGCGGCGCCTTCGCTCGGAGACGAGGGCCGGGCCGGGCCGGGCCGGAGCTGAGGCCGGGCGCAGCTGGAGCGCTGGTCGACGCGGGAGCGGAGCCGGTGCCCAGCCGCAGTAGGAACCGTCCGCTCTGGGCCTGAGCGGCGGTCCGCTCAGCCAATCGGCGCGTGGCTCCGGACCAGAGCCCCCAATCAGCTCATTGCAAAGGCGGAGACACGCAAATCGGCCGTCTGGGCGCGCCAGTGCGCAGCCGCTGCAGCCGCGGTCCTTCCTAGACTCGGCCTCCGCTCCAGCCCGCAGACGCCCTTTCAGCTTGCAAGGATGCTCCGCTGCCCGCACACCCCGCTTAGCGCCCCGCCACGCCCANCAAATTGGCTGGTCCCCTCCCCAATTCCCCAACACGGTTCCCCTCCCCCAATTCCCCAATTAAAAAAATTTTTTTGCTAAATATTAATATATGTATAAATACCCTCCCTCTTAAGAAAGACTTACTGTACTTTATTTCAAATTAAGCAAATCACAAATATTAAGCTCGAGAAATAGATTTCATTTGACTATACATATATAAGAAAAAAGAGAATTATAAGTAATTTACCAAGAGCTGGCAGAGTACATGCCCCAGGGATGTACTGGGTATGAAATGTGTGCAAGAAGGCAAAAGCTACACAAGCCATGGAGAGGCAGCTTTCTCTCCCTGTCAGTCTCCCCAGCGTCCTGTCAGCCCCAAGACCTTCAGGCCTGTCTACACACTGAACACCAGGCAGAAAGACTGTGGAACTGACCAGGGCCTCGCTGGGCCTGTCTTTCCACAGCCCACATAATAAGGGGTAACGCTGATCGAGAGCTTCCTATTGGCACACACTGCGGCACGCACTCTACCTGCACTAGCCCACTGAATCCTGCCGGCCACCTGTTGGGAGACCCGTCCTCCATGGCCTTTGGCTCTCTGACATGTCTTACTGGGTATGCCAGGAAGGCAGGGTCCTGACCACCCTTCCGCAGGCCACTCCTCCGGGCTATGTTTTCAGTGAGCAACCCTGAGGGATGAGACGTCTCCCTCAGGGACAAACAGCAGGCTTGCTTACTGCCTGTTATAAAGCTGTGGGCTTCCCAAACTCACTGTTCCTCAGCTGTGAAACAAAAGCACAGCACCCACCTGGGCCCATGGCATCACCCCCATGGGACCTGGGGGAAGGGAAACCAACACACATGCTAATGCTCGTGCTCGTGATAAAGTCCTTTGTCTCTGACTCAGGAGTTATACACACAAAGAGATACGAAGTAGACAGAGGAAGGTCTCCCTCCTAATTTCCCCCGCCCCGAGTCCTGTAACCCACCTGAGTTCCCACACACACACCTCTCCCTAGATCCCACTACAGAGCCGGTTTACATCTTCCCATCTTTAACTCCATTTTTTTTGTCCTTTAACTCAAACTCATCTAGAGTCCATTGCAGTATGTAGTTAAGCTTATCAATTCTTTTCAGCACTGAAATTCAACTGCCCCAACAACTAACAATCATCCCTTTCCTTGCTGCTGTGTAACTCCTCATGTCTCAGGAATGAAGTGCCTGGGTCAGTTAGCTACAAAGTTACCTCTTTTCCATTCACATATTTTCCTGCTCTTACCCAAGCACTATATGAGATTAATAAATTGCGGCTTTATAATAAGTTCTGGAGGTTCCGCCACATATAGGCCATGTAACACTGGGCTAATCTCCACTACTCTGAGGCTCCACATCCATTAAAAGGGGCCAGTGGTGGTGAGGCTGGACACCAATAGCCATCCTCCTCTTCTTCTTTAGGAAAATAACTTAGAGTTTTAGGAGAACACATGGCTTCCCTGAATACAGATGACATTTCCCAGCTTCATTTATGACTAAATGCGGCCATATGACCAACATCAGGCCAATGGGATGCAACAAGTGTCATGCACAGTTTCTTGAAAGTGGCCGTCAAAGGCTAGAATGCAGGAGAAAAGGCTGGGGGTCCAGCAGCCACTTAAGGCCATGAGGTGACCTCAGATTTTGGAGCCATTCCCAACATCACATCATGATGTCACAAGACAGAAGGTCTGTGACCATGTGGGCTCCATACCTACTCTGAGCTTACTGATTACCACCTGACTTCTCACACATACGAGAAGCCTCTATCTTATTTATGTCTTTGTTATTTTGAGTTTTCTACCACCCGTACCCCAACCTACAGAAATGGCTCCCTCATAAAAGAAGTGATAAGGGTTAAATGAGACTATCTATCACAATAGATATCCATTTTTATATTCCCACAACAAAGCACTGTTTTTACACACAGCAGAAGATGCAAACATTTGTTGAAATGAACAGGAATCTGGAAGGATGAAGGCCATTTCATTGCTTTAAAAAAACTTAATCTTTTTGCCAATTTATTTTTCCACATGGGCATCCCTACTTTATCAAGTTTTATAGAACATCTATTTGCATTGCATTAAATGTTTACCAACATTATTGCACTATTAACTGTGTTTAGACTTCCCTGGAAAGAGCCAGAAATTGACTGAATGCTTGACTGACTGACTTTCACTCAATCCATTCAAAACATACTTAATAAGCAGCTGCTCTGTAACAAGGCTAGTCATAAAAATCAGACTTTGGAGTTAATAAACAAATAAACAAATATTAGGTACATAATCTCAAACACCACCTCCCCCTGTGCCCACCAAAATACTCAGGGAAATAGAGCTGATGAAAATCTGTATCATTGCAAAAGCCCAAAGCTAACATGCTACTCTGTCCTTGTCACCCTTGCCTCTCTTCTTCGCAGCAATGACACTCCTCTGACCCAGGTTCCTGGGCCTGGTGCGTTTTCATTTTCCAGCAATGTAATGTTTTCTGTGTTTCTCCACGGTCACACTTATCTTCCAGGTGTTGGAATCTTTTTACCTGTGGATCTGATTTCCCTCCCCCACCAAATGGTGATGATGTCACATAGCTGGATCTGTTATTGTTGAAGTTCTTCTTTATTTCATACATTCGCTATATTGGTGGGGTTTAGTCCAGTGCAGATATCTGCAGAGGTACTCAGATGATGATGGTATCTTTGTTACTGTCACTTATTGAGCCATTATTCTGTGACAGATACTTCGCTAAGCACCTTACCCATTATGTACCACTGTGATCACCTTACAATAATTCTCTAAGGTGGGTATTGTTGTCATACCCATTTCAAGTGAGAAAACTGAGGCCCAATGAGGTTAGAAACTTACCCAAGGACACAACATCAATAAGAGGATGCTCACTGGCTGTAGTAGTGAGTCTTTGGGCAGAGGCAGGATGGGAACCTAGCTCGGTCTGCCCGCTATTCTGAACCATTTCTTTATGTTCCATCCCACAAGAGCTGAACGGCACTTTACGTTCTGTACTGGTACACATACTTCCATCGATCCATCTGCTTACTTCTCTTTGCCTAGGCATTGGGGCTTCTCAACTCCACAAACAGTAATCCCGTTTGTTTTTCCTTTCCTGAGGAGCAAATGGCTTCATACAAGGATGGTTGGCCCTGGTATTAAGGAGAGCTACTTCTCTGAGCTTTCCCTAATCCTTTCACAGTACTCCTCAGCTGTGGCTTTCAGCACCAGGGTCAGTGGCAACCGGGTCTCTGCCTCCGTCCTCCACTCTGAGGTCTTTGGGTTCAAGGTAATACTTAGAAAACATATGTTGGATCACAGATCAGTTTCCCATTGGCTCTCTCTGATTAAAGGCCCTTCACTGGGTTCTATAAATCAATCTCAGTCAGGCATCTAGATCTACCAGGGGGATGGGCTTCCACTTTTGCCAATTTAGGACCCTCTTTCCATTAGAAGTCTGGGTAGATCTCATGTGCTAGAACTCTGAGACCCCACCAATAAGTTCCGGAAATTCTACAGCAGGCTCTTCCCTGCTACCCAAGCTCAGGACACACAGGGCACCAAGATGCCCTCCCAAGTCACAGGGCTCCCACAGCACATTAGTCCAGGCTGAATGGTTTTATCATCTTCCGAGAATTTCCTCCAACAGTTCTGACAGCTGCCTTTCCTATAGGATCTAGACATACACCCTTCCCACGAAGGTTGCAGACCCATCCTGAATCCCAGAATGTTAGAAGTATCCCAACTTCCCTGCGTCAAGAGCCAGGGGTTTCAGCCCAAAGGACCACCAACAGAAGATGTGAGTGGATTGTTTGAGAAGGTACTGAGCGAGGCTGAAGGGTTTCCAGGCTCCCTCAGGGTCTTTTGCACACAGAAGAAGCAAAGGTAACTAAAATGACTTCTCTCATATGAGACTGGCTCTGACATGTCGCTGTGGGACACCAGAGCACTCAGCTTGAGGAGGAAGGGTAGAGGCCCTGCAGGGAGAGAGCTGGAGGGGACCCCCCACCACCACCACCAGTTTCCACACCATCGTCTTCCTCCTTCCTCACTGCCCTCTCCTCTTGCTCCTTCTCTGACCCTTCCACTGTGTTCCACCCCTCATGCTGGTGCTCCCCAGCAGTCTACCCAGGATCCTCCACTCACTACACATAACCTTCCTGACTAGTCCAATACCCCTCCTACCACTTCAGGGGCCAGCTACAGAGGATGAGCTCAAGTCTCTCTCCAGACCAGCGGGAATATCAGAACCATCTGTGAAAACTCTTCAACATACAGTTGACCAGCCTCTCACCTCCAAACACCACAAAGGGTTCTGATGCTCCCCTTGAGAATGAGAGCCACTGCGCTGGCCCAGACCTCTCTTTGAGCTCCAAACTAGCAGGCCACTTGTCCAACGCTGTCCCTCAGACACCCCAAACTCAAAATGGCCTCCTCCCAATTCAATCCTCCTTTCATGCACCTTATCTCTGTGACTGGCCCAGCACCTCACACCGCTTAAGTGAGAAACCCTGACATTGTCCTCCCTCCCATCTGCTAAATCTCCAAGGAGAGAGGCCTCTACCTGGGTTTCTCTTGAACCTGCCTTCTCCTCTCCATCCCCACAGCCAGGTTCAGGTGTAACAGCCCCTTTACTCACCTCCCAAACGCCAGCGACCTCCCACACCACCCACCCTCCACATCAGGATTGTAACTGACGGTGTTTCTCTCTTCTTGTAACTCCAGAACGATTCTCCACTC